ATAGATATATAGATATATATAGATATATTGCTACATATATATCTATATATATATAGATAGATATATATACATATATATATATAGATATATATATTTGCATGTAAACCGGCTGGCTACAGACTCGACATGTTCGTGCAGTCTCAAAATTAATGTCAAGGTCAAATGACATGAATTTCACCAACGACGTTGCGGCACATCTTCCCATGTGAATATTATAATAACTAGACCTTCAGATCAGGGCAATCCAGCCTAAACCAGGCCAAATTGAGATGATTAATGCTGATATCTTAAACTCGAGCAGATCGCCCTGCACTAGAGAGGCACAGTAAGTATAAAAGGAGGAGTGGTCCGATCTCTGTCATTCTTGATAAAGACTGAATAAAGTCGAAACCGGTCGAATTCCGTCTCATCGTTGTCACTCTCCCATCGCTACGAATGATGAATATGATAATACCCTCTAGCTAGCTTCCTGTCGACCAATCAATGTTAACGATACTTTACTGACACAAAAAGTACAGCGTAATGTCTATAACTAAACATACAAGCAAACGTGAATACAAAACTGATTGTTGGAGTCTCCTGTCGGTGCGACAGACGAGTAGACAGACAGATCATTTGCCGAGGTGGGCATCAAAACTTATCAACCTATGTACAAGTATATGATTAAATCAACATGTTGAGTTCTTTGATATACTAACCTATTTGTACACAGTAAGGGTCATCTCCTTCTATGATGTAGTTGAATTTATCTATCAAATGAAATGTATCAATTTCTGTTGAGCAAGCTGAAATAAGGTTGGACAGCTTTGTGCGTTTATCATCATATCATGAATCGATAATAAAGTGACTTTCGTCTTCAATCTCATTTGGACAGAATGTACAAAACCTCTGGCCATGAGGAATCTTATCATAGCTTCCAATTTCTACATTCAATTTATGACTACATACTCTTATCTTTGAGATTATACTACCTCTTGAGTTTGTACAGTTACTGTAATGCTCTAGACACGTAATAAAAAGACCTGTCCATCATGGCCTTGTAGACGTCCGAAGGCGAGAAGATAACTAAAAGACTCATGTGTCTACAGGGTGTGATGTCATATCTACGTCAGTCCCTG